CCTTGGTAGATGAAAAGACAGATAGCATTGTTCAGCTAAATAAAAACTGTTACTGGAATAAGAGTACAGTTTTTTTTTCTTTCCCAGCACAAGATACTAAGCAACGAAATGAACACAATTCAAAATCTCCCACCCTTTTCCTCCACGTGTAGGTGAAAATTTATAATGTTAGCACCAGTTCTTGGGAAGAGGGACTCTTATTTCCCTTTAGAGCGTCCTCTGTGTAATCTCAATTACCTGCAACCCGGGCAGTTACTCTCTCTTAGAGCACCTCACTCTCTGTGTGTGTAGGGGGGTCAGTCTGTAAGCTGCGAAGCAGGGGGACGGAGCAGCCGAAGACGAGCCCAAACACCCTGTTATCCGTGAGGAAATTGCTAAGGGCCACTGTGGAGGAGATAACAAAGTCTGTGTGGGCACTGCATGTATTAAAAGCTGTACACAATGTGTGCACACACGGAAATGGGTGCCAAATTAAGTGTTCGAGACTGGAGAGACAGCAGTTTGAGCACGCTTGCTCATAAAGAGCAAAGGGGAATCGTACCTGTGCATAAATCTGAATCAAATGAGCGCATGTGCTCTGAGTCTGTACTTCCTGCTGCCGGTGTATCTTTTTAATTTGGGCTGGCTACACTGTCTATTGCTGGGCATGATCTGGCAGGATTCCTACCACCGTGCATCAGGACAAACAAGTCTGACTTCATCCGTGAGTTATGAGCTGTTTGCACACACGCACGCAAAAAATGTGACACTGGGCATTCCTTAGCTCGACACCCGTACGTACCGAGTTCACCGGCTTCCCGTAAGAGGTGCAGCATCTCCCCAGTCATTTATGACACAGTTAACACAGAAATGAGTGGTGAAGATGATTTTTTTTTTAAAGAAAAAAGAAGGTCTGGACGAGATCAGTTCATTTCCACATTTTTGTTAGATTATGAAGAAGTGGAAATGCATCATAGTTCAATATTTTATCGCTTATTAGCTTATAATATGGAAATATTTGGTAGTTTTGTTTAAAAAATGGAGTAAAAGTAAATTAGAATCAAACAATGATTAAAAAAATGTGTGTGCCCATGTCCTTTTAGAAGGAGGCCCACTTCAGGTCTTCTAAGGACAAAAACAGATGAGATTTGAAAAAAAGAAAAACACAAAGTGCCCTTTACACAGTGTAGAATAAATGAAAAATCTATTTTTCAAGGGTCGATGGTGTTGAGGAGCGCCACGATAACCTAGCTCACGCACCGAAGATCAAGGCCGTCTTTTTATCACCAGAATTGCTTTTCTAATTTTCCACTGCCCACACGTGTCATGATGACAGCCGTCTGATAGCTTGTTCTCTTCTTCAGCCACACTGTAGCCGTTTGATTGAGACGCTGGCTTTCATTACTCTCCCTGAATCCTCTAATCCTGACAAGCAGAGGACACAAAGACAGTCAGCGCCCGCCTCTAATTCGGCTGGAGTGCACAGTTAATGATTTTTCCTCCGGCATTAAGTTAGCTTTCTCTCTAAAATGATGCCGTCTGACAAAGAAAATAAACAGTTGGACCTATACGATAGAATTATTGCACACAAAGCTGGATCTAAATCATTTTGGGCCCGATTACATTTAAGGCATGTAAACATAACTGGCTCTTCCTTGGGTGTGTTATGTAAGGCGCATCTGTGACAACAACACCCTGAACAGCCCCGGGGCGATTTCCAAGGAGCTGCAAGACTGTTTCAGCCTGAAACTTTCCGAAGCCTCGGGTCTAACGTACCAGGCGAAACGGTGCAGCGAATGAAGCTTAAAGCGTGAAACAACACTCCTAAATGACACACTGAGCTGGTCAAACATTAGACAATGATTTTATAATGGAGGCTAAACCTGAGATAACTGAGGTGGAAGAGTGGGAATAAATAACTAGGAGTACTTCAGATACGAGTGTTTGGGTGATCTCAATCTCAAAAGCAGAACCTCTGTACGCCAGAACCTTTGCTTTTTAGCTAGGCCAACGTTACTTTCCTATTGCCTTTTACATAATGACTGACGTCTAGTGACTAGTTTAGAAGACCTAGACTTACTTTCTTTTTAACCCTTTTTAAGAGAAGGCAGAATAGAGAGAACTTTTACAACACATAAGTCATAGACAGGATCTAAAACCGATCACTTAAGATGAGATTGTTCGGCAGCAATGAGCAAAATGAAAAAAAACCTGTTTCCCATAATGTACATAATGTATGGACACTACTCCAAATGAGAAAAAAAAAAAAACGTATGCAAATTGGCAGAACGGAAGTCAGATATGGTGATCGTTTGGGTATACAGCACCACTAATGGGGGATTTTTTGGACCATTTGTAACAACTAACATGTGAGCCCACACACTATGTAAAATGCCTACAAACTGTATCTCTATTTGTACAACCAGTTTTAGAATTGTGAGAAAAAAGGGTCACACCGTTCTAAAAGTGCGTGAGAATTAAGGGAACAACTTGGTTCTGTGTTGCCGCCTTTTTCAAACTGCTTACATATCAAACCGAGGTGATAACTTCTCTTATGTCCTCCTGGAGAGAAGGATCTCACTCATTCCGATCTTTGTTCTTCTTCTGAAAACTTCCCCTCCCTGACCAATGCACCAGGAACAACATTGAAATGGGAAATGACCGGTCAATTTAACATTTAGATCACTGGGGGAACAAACAGCTCTTTGCAACAGACACGCAAAAACAGGTTTCTTCTCCATTTTTTTTTTTTTGCAATCGAATCCCTCTGAATCCAAAGCGGGCTCGCTGTTTAACCAACACTCATTGCTAGTCGTGGCACACTTCTCCTTCAGATTCAATCCCCGCTTTAATTCCCCCGAGGTGTGTGCATCTCGAATGGACAGGGGGGTGTCAGACAGGGGGCCCCGCGGGCTAATTGTAAAACTCGGGCTGCGAACCCTCGGCTGTTTGCCTTCCGATGATGGGGACGAGCTCCTTGCTTGTCGAAGCCTAAGTGAGTGTGAAATGTGCGCAGTCTGCTGAACGACATCCCGACAGCCCGCGATGAAGCTCAGCTCGCCGAGCAGCCGGACAGAGAGCGATTGTGCTTTTTCCTCCTCTCGGGGAGCAGGACGTTCAGAGTGGGATCTCTGGGGACCTCTGAGCAGTTTAAATGGGGGCAGCCGATCCAAATGGCTTCTTACAAAGTCCTTTTGACCAAACATTATTAACACCAAAACACTTTTTGTCTCAGTTTTTTTATAAACTTGTTATGCGGTAATATTCTTGGTTCTTTTTTTTTCTATCTCAGCAGGGCAAAAGAGGTCAGAAAATATCTATTATCCTTCTAGGTAAAGATTTAACCCATGTCTGAATGAAACTGCCTAAGTGTCGGGCAAATATAGTCTGAAATGAAGCCTTAATCCCCCTTTTGCAGGGGCCCTCCCTCCTGTATGCTACAGTTTGGTTTTCCCCTCCACGTCTCCCCCTCTTTCTCCTTCGACAGCTGCAAGGACCCGGCCCTTATCTCCGTCCAAATTCCAGCACCGGGCAGCACGCTCTGAGCGCCCTGAGGTCAGTCAGAGCCATCACAAAGCATTTGTCGTTTGGCCCGCCACGCAGCCAGTTGCTCTCGGAGAGCGTTTGGGGATTTAGGGGAGCACAGACGGGCCTGCTCAAGCTCTTCTGACACGCGGGCGTTATAAGCCGCAAAAGCCTCCGGCTACTTTCTTACAATGTAAATATAACAGCGTGGTCATCATTTAAATCCTTTGGCATCCCCCAGTGCCTTAGATACTGATCAGAAACGCTTCCTGCTGTCTCCTAGTGTTCGAAAAGCAAATTTGCAACCAGTTTCGTGACAAAGAAAACAAAACGAGACAGGTATTCATTGACGATGTTCCCATCAAAAGCTGTTTCCAGGAGGGGATGGACTCGTTAATGTTTGGCCGGTGACACAAAGAGCTCGCTGTGACGGCAAAGGGGAAGCTAAAACACAGAGTGCAAATTGTGTTTGCCGAAGTGAATGTCAACTTGTGTGACGGCCAGACTTGCTGCGGGGTATCTGCCAGCACATCCAACAACTGAGCACATCAACCATCTGAAGGAGAGAGAGGGGGGGGGGGGGGGG